GTGAGGTTCCAGCCTCAGTCAGGTGCTGAGGCCAACCCATAACCCTCTTGGGTGCAGGTAATACCAGCCACAACCCTCCCTTCATTCTTCTAAAATTCCCTGGCAGCCTCTCACCCCAAGTTGGCATACAGCACAGAGAGGTGGGGGAGACAGGAGAGGCCCCCCCCCAATTTGCTCCTGTCCTTCCTTGGTGGGGGGCGGCGAGCCTCAGCCTGGGAGAGAAGGGACCAGTAGGGTGAGAACTGAGGGGTCCTTTTCCAGAGCACAGCTGGCAATGTTGGGGCTCCCCTGTGTCTCCACAGGGCTAGGTCTGCCAAAGGCCAGACTGACCAGCAAAGAAAACTCTTACCCTTCTCCCCTCTCCTGCACGTGGCCTTATGTTGGTGCACAGCGGTCACCTGGCACTGGCCACCATGTCCAGGTCCCTCTTCCCCTTCCTCTCCATTCACTTCCTGTGGTGGGACTTCAGGCATAGCTGGATCTAGGCACTCTCATAACACCACCCAGACGGACTGTTTCCACTTTGACCTTTGTGTTGGTCTCGAAGTAGCATGGCCTCGGTGGCCGTAGATGGCTGAGCTGACATCCGGACAGCCTAGCAGTGCCTAAAGGTGCAACCCCCTTTCCTACAAACTGTCCAGGTCACACGAGATTGCCTGAGAATGGCCGCCGACGGCACAGATGCCAGCTGGTGGTGTGGTCACAGCACTCTGGAAGTCAGAGTGGGGAAGGCACATACTTCCTAAGTCTTCCCTGACTTTTCTTTGAAGCTTTGTTGAGGCCACTGAGCTTCTGGGGACCCCGGATGACCATCCCAGAATGCCGTGGGCGAGGGCTTCCTGGAGCCGATGGCACTGGGCAGCCCCTCAGGGCAGAAGAACCCTGTGTGCAAACACCAGGGCAGAAGGGCTGCGGCATGTTTGGGAATGGTGGGAAAGGTGACCATTGGCACCAGTGAGAAGAGGCAGGTGTGTGTCCTGTTCACCAACCAGCCACCATCTAACCCCTTCACACCTTCTCCCCTTCCCATGCAGAACTGGGACTGGGGAGGGAGAGATTTCCCTCCGAGTCCCTCCAGACACCACCACACCACAGTCGTCCTGCCTCTTGTCTCTCCTCCATGCAAGAGTTCGTTGTTCATATGGCCACAGTTCCAAGTTAAGTTTTTTAACCATTTATTGAAAATATCCTTTCCCCCACTGGATTACTTGGACTGTGTTGTTAGATCAACTGTAATGTGTGGGTCTGTCCTCTGTGCTGTTCCACTGGTCCGTTTGTCTGTCTTTAGAGCAGCACCAGGCTGTCTTGGTTATGGGAGCTTTATAGTAAGTCTTGAAATTGGGTGGGTTATGCCCTTCGACTTTGTTCTTTGTCAAAATTGTTTGGGCCATTCTAGGTTCTTTGGTATTCCATCTGAATTTTAAAATCAACTCATCAATTTCTATCAAAAACAAAAACCCCAACTTGGGTTTGATTGGGCCTATGTTGAGGTTATAGATCAATCTGCGGAGAATATGACTCTTCGGAGACATGAGTGTCCTAGTTGCGGTCGTAGATTGTCTCAGAATCGATTCTGACTCGTTGCGACCCCATGTAAGTGTTGTATTAGCTCCCATTTACTTGAATCTTGAATTCCTCTCAGCAATGTTTAATGATGCTTAAGTGTTGCACGTGTCTTGTCAAATGCGTTGCTGTTAGGTGCTGTTAAATCACTTCCGACTCAGAGCAACACTATGTCCACAATCTGGTCCTGCACCCACCTCACAATCCGAGCCGTATCTGAGCCCATAGTTGCAGCCCCTGGATCAATCCAGCCCCTGTGAGGGTCTGGCTCTTTTCCACCACCCCTTTACCAAGCATGATGTCCTTCTCCAAGGAGACTATATATGAAAGTACACGAGACAGAATCCCTCCTGACTATATATGAAAGTACACGAGACAGAATCCCACCATCCTTGCTTTATGCCAACATCCATCGGACATCAGCGATGATTGCCCTCGTTCCTAAGGCGCTTCTGAATCCAGCATGCACAGCTGGCAACCATTTTTGAATTATCTTCAGGAAATTTTACTTGTTGTTAATTAATGCTATTGTTTTATAATTTCCTTTCTTTGCAATGAGCACAAATATGGATCTCTTCCCATTAGTTGGCAGAGATGAGTGGGTGCCTCCCAGCACTGCGTTAGTTTGTTAGATCAACTGCTATCCAATCAGTTCGTGGAGGCTTGTTCTTCGCTAGTGCTTTCCATATTGCTTGGACTTCATCCTTCAATACCACCAATACTACCCTCTGAAATGGTTGAACACTGACCAATTCTTTTGGCGCAATGATTCTGTGCGTTCCTTCCATTTTGTTTTGACGCTTCGTGCGTTACTCCGTATTTTGCCCGTGTTGTTGCTGCTGATAAATGCCATTTTGTCAGTTCAGATTTAGCAATCCTGTACAGGATTTCCGAGCAGCTGTGTGTGGGTTTGAACCGCCAACATTACAGTTTGAACAAACCTTGTGGTCCCGTGTCAGCACCACACCAGGACTTCCATAGGATTCTTCAATATTGAAAATCAAGGCGCGAATTTTTTCCTCAGTTCTTTCAGTTTGAGAAATAACCAAGCACGTTCTCCCCTTTTGGTTTTCTACCTCCTGGTCTTCACACATTTCATTATAATACTTTACACACTGTCTTCTCGAGCTGCCTTTTGAAAATTTCTGTTCAGCTCTTTTACTTCATCGTGTGCTTTGGTGGGAAAAGGCCAGGCAAGCTGCACCGAGGAGTTTTTTTCTATCTTGACATTGTTGTACCTGCTCATTCTTCGAGAGTAACAAGGGCTGTCCTACAAGAATTCCATCGGAACCCCTTATCCCGTCTACCCTACAGCCCTGATCTTGCCCCTTCAGATTGTGCTCCCCAAACTCTAAGAACATTTAAAGGAACATGATTTGAGTCCCTTGAAGGTGTCAAAGCTGCTGTTTTGATGTGGTGTAAACCAAAGATCCCAGAAATCTTAGGGGGCAGGCTGCACAGACACACACGGAGTTGTGGTGAGAAACAACAGTGCCTCATTGTGATTGTTTTTGTTGAATGAAGGTTTCTGTGGTTTTGTAGCCGTACTTCTCATACAATTCAGGGTAAGTCCTTCCATCCAAAAGGCAGCTGTGCTTTCCAACGTGACTAGAAACCAAACCTCCGTGCTTCAGGAGATCTGCTCAAGTTGTCAGTGCAAAAATGGAAAGCAGGAGCCAACTACAACTACGCCAACAGCAGTGCTGGGGGCGCGCGGAAGCAGTGTGCTGGCGTTCACTAAGGCTCCCATCTGGAAGAGTTTGGTCACTGTGGATGGAGCCCAGGGTTCCCTGGGTGGGTGAGTATGAAGTCACTCCCAAGAGAGACCCGCCCAGGCCCACCTTCCCCAATCCCTGCTTGTCCACACACAGCTGACCCCACAACCAAGGCAGCCAGAGTCGGTCCCACTAGAATAAAGCCTGTGTCCCACAGGGCACGGCACGGGCATGGGCTGAGGGGCGGGAGCGTGTGTCCTGGGAGCTGAGCGCTCTGTGCCCGGGCTCAGGTTCCTGGTTATCAGTCTGGACACGTGGCTCCCAGACAAACCCTCAGCGGAATTGGTGTGGGGGTGTGGGGTTGCTGGGAGGGGAATGACCTAGTATAAGGGGCTGGGATTGTAACCGAAAGAAAAACGGGAAAAACAAGTACAGATAAATTTGTTTTTAATAAAGGAGTTAATTTTCTTTCAATCCTATATAAAACAATAGCAATTAAAAACTTCATTTTTGAAAGTAAAATATTTACATATGAACAAGTTAACTGTGCAAAATTTACATGAAAAAATGGAAAGACGGGATTTTCCTAAAAGACAAAATAAAAGGCGTAAGAGTTTCCGGGTGTTGATAAAAAATACAGCTCAGCACTCAGTCACGCGCGCTCCCGGTCTAACGTGAGAATTCCACGGAGGAGGCGAGAGTATTTACAGTCATAAAAGTACTATCAATAGACAATTTAATACAATAACCTCTGAAAATATAAAGAACCAATTAGTATATCTGTAATAAAAAAATAGGTACAAAGAAGGGGCTTTGCTCGGGGCGTCTGTAAAGTGAGCCCGCAGCTTGCATACAGTCTCGTAGCAAAATAATTCCCGTTTACATCGCCATTCTTATGTCATGTGCCAAAAATTATGTACAATTACTGACAAAATACACCAACCGTTTGTCCACACTTGATTCACACTGAGAAGCAGTCGTCGATGATTCTTCGCAAGTCTGATTTTATTTCATCTAAGCTTTCACTTTGAGCTAAAAAAAACACAGTGCAAGTAAAATATATTTATGCTGAAAAGGTCTTCATCTCTTTTAACTTTACAGCTTTACAAACTATAGCAAATACAATGCCTTTGTACAGATGCTGACAGCCTGCCTGAGGAGCCGCCGCGTGTGCGCGCATGGAGCACACAGGTGATACCATCGAGGCGCTGGGTCAACGCTGATGTGGGTTCCTGGAGCAGGGTGGGCGGGGAAGGGGATAAATAGTCTAAAAACATCAGTTCGCTTTGCCAACTGACTCTTACAAAAATAAAATACATGAGATGAGGTCATGGGCTGGAGACCTGTGCCTCTGTGTTAAGTGAGGTGGGGACACCGAAGACACGGGACGTGGACACAGCTGTGTGCTGACCAGGGCGGCTGCTACTCGCTAGCGACCCCATCAGTCTTTATATATGGCTTGTTTGGCAAGAAGGCCACTCAATCGAAGATGAGCTAAGATTTCATTGTCCTTTAGGAGTATCCACAGGCCTTGAGTTCTCTGCTACAGAATTGTGTTCTCCCTCCTACCCAAGAGCCGATTTACAAACAGGAATATAAAACGCTCCACTGGAAAGAGGGGCTGTTTTTTAAACAACATCCCATTTGCGTGTTACAAAAAGGCGTAATCTGCAAATCTATAAAAACGTCCCCAGGCGTCCCCATCAAAACCACTGCGTTCTGTCATTTCAGGAATGCTTTGTAGAGCAGCAGTGAATGGCTTGTCTCACGCTCGTTTTCTAAACAAAATATGAGGTCCCTGAGGTTGACCCGCGTGATCCGCTGCCGCGTGAACTGTCGGGGAGTTCCGACGCCAGAGCTGCCGGGAACTGCCGTGCCGGGACCTGATCCCTGGTGGCCAGAAGGAAAAGACAGGTGGTTAGTGGAGCTGAGGGTCAGTGGGGGCAGGGCCCCATCTGGGCTGGAAGGATCAGGTTGGGGCCATGGCCATGTGCCTAGGACACTCCTTCCCCTCATCACCCGGGGCTCTAGGACCCAACAGATTCCACAGGGGGTGAGGACAAAGGGGCCACAGCACCTCCTGGTGTACCCCCAGGCCTGGCACCGAGTCCTGCAGAGAGAGAGTCAGCTAAGGCAGACACAGCCCCCAGCTCAGCGCTTCGCCCCCTGCACCCCACTGGCTGCAGCTGGGGCTGGTCGGTTGGACGAGCCTGATCCCCACACCTCTGGCTGACGCTGTTTAGACAGGGGTCCAGGTGTGAAGGCTCCTGCCCGTCAACCCGATCTCCACTGGGCCGTGAGTGTAGTGAGGGGCAGGGTGAGGACCAGCTGGCCGGGTTCGCCTCCCACACTGACCACACACAGCACCGACGTTCATGACCGGTTGGATTGTCACTATTGTTTCTAACAAATTGCAAACACAGGCTGTTCCTGGTGGACCCAGGGCTCTGTGAGAAGTCTCTTCTTCCATCGGAACACCAACCTGACTCCTGTGACGTGGGCTGTGGGGCCACTCTGCCCATCCCCCCACCCAACAAGGGGCACTAAGGACGCTGGCTACCTTGGGGTGCACACTCCTTCACTTGGGAGTGGGAGTCTGACACTGAGCAAGCCCAGCCCCTCCAGTATTAGTGTCTGCGACCCTCTTTAGGTAAGTGAAAAAGTGGAGAGTCCAGGGGGAGGTGGGCCTGAGCCCCCAGGGACAAGTGAGGGCCGGAACAGAAGACCCCAGGAGGACACAAGCAGGAGCTCCAACACCGATATCGAAACTCCGGGAAACCTAAGACGAGGACTCGGGTTTCTTATCACTAGAAGAAGTTGAAAGATTTACAAACTGAAGACCGCTGTGGACCTGGGAGGTGGGCACATGGAAATTGCTTTATTGTGGTAAAATCTACACGAAACAAGGTTCGCCACTTGAACCAGTTTTAAGCAACACTGATTATATGCTCCTTTCTGGAAGTTTCCACTGCCTCAGAAAGAGGCTTAGAGGCCCTTCAGCAATGCCTCCCATTCGGACCCCCTCAGCCCTGCCTTCCAGTCCCTGTTTAGGTGTTTCCCACGGGTGAGGTTCATCTATGTCAGGACTTCCCTTCTATGTGGCACAGTAACCCCCCACTCTGGTGAGACAGCGCTGGGCTGTGGCGAACACAGGTGTACCCTGCTTTCACCGTCAAGTGAAACTGCTGGGGACCAGGCGGTTCATCATAGATGCTCCTCATTCCTTTTGTTTACGGCCGAAATTCGAAATGTTCACAACAAATTTTTTTTAAATAAAAAAAATTTTAACTCAAATCACAAAGCGTCTTTTAAAAAGTACAGACACTGGGGTCGGGGAAGAAGTGACTTTGGACCCACCACTTAAATTGCCCCAAGCGTTAGCTCCTGTCTGTAAACTGGCACCGGAAACAGTCACCTGGAGTCTGTCACAGACTGCGGACAGGATTAACTCAAAGAGGCTGCCATTTGTAAGGAAGGCCCATCTTTCCAGTTGCCAGAAATACCACAACACTTCTGACAAGCAACGAGTCCTTGAGGTAAAAGTCCTATGGGGACAGTTTACAGTCCCTCACTGAAAGGCAGAAGGTGACCTGAGGTGAAACCACTGTGTCTTGAGAGAAATGCCCTTGGAGTGGGTGGGGGCAGAGGTAGCTCCCAAGTATCTGCTTCCCCCTTCCTGTGAGCACTTACCATAAGCAGACCCAGAATGCTAGGTCACATTCCTCACACCTGTGAGGACTGCAAACATCACCCACATGGCCAGGGACACCGGACAGTGGTCCCTCAGTAAGGGGGCATGTGCCTGACCTGGTCACTTGCTCCGGTGCTCAGCTGGCAGAGCACCCCATGGTGATGGTGAAGTCAGGAGAAACAAACACTCACTCCAGGAAGCTGAGACATGGCAGACCCAAGAACCCATCTCCCAAGATCTCCTCCCAAACCAGTTCAGAAAACACAGGAAAACCCGACAGACTACAAAGAAATCACACCACCCACCTGGCGTGACTGCAGTAGGTGTAGCCCATCTGCCCACCCTCTCCCGCCACCACCAGGCTGTGAGGACCCTCTCTCGTCCACCCTAGCCTGAGAACCTCTAGGGTCCAAGCGGCACAGGCCATCCAAAAGGGACAGTCTTCAAACACTCAGCTTCTAGGGAAGAGAAAAGGTAAACAAAATGTTCTAAAGATACCGGGGTGACAACAGGGAAATTTATAGCCCTGCATTCAAGACAAAAAGAGAACCTCAAAATCAGAGATTACAGGACCTGTTCCCCAAAACACCCAGAAAATCTGCTAAATCACCAAGATTTGACAATGCCACCAAAAGAGGGTGCGACTAAGCCATGAACCCTGTAAGACACCCATCACCCTAAACAAGAGGAGAACACGGCGTACTGCAACCCAACTAAGATACAAGAGACTCAAAACCTCAGTAACAAATGGAATGAAAAGCGAGTGGAATTTTTCCATGAACTTTTGAAGACCCCTCATACATTGGCAATGCTACCAGAAGAGGGCACCATTAAGCATGAATCTTGTACAAAAACCTAAGCCCCGCAAAGACGGACAAGAGGAGGATAAAACACCCCATACCTACTCACCATGACAGAGTGAGGGCAGGAAAAGAGAGGACAGTAAGGACTGAAAACCAGCTTACATAAGGGGCCACCGATCTGGCACTTGGATCAGCACTAGACTGCTAACTACAAGGTCGGTGGTCCAAACCCACCAATCACTCCTCAGGAACCCTATCCAGGGTTGTTACGAGTTGGTACCAACTCAATGGCCCGTAACACCAACAATACTGTCAACTTAAGGGGAAAGTAGGAACGTAACAGCTCCAACAAAGAAATCCAGAAAGATGGAGGAGACTTGCCTGAACTCAGGAGCAGGGTTGAGAAACCAAACAACATACTGCAGTGGGCAAACGGGCTGCAAAAGAGCTCTCCAGAGTATTAAAAAAGCAAAAAATGTCACTTTGAAGACAAAGATGTGCCTGAGCAAGCCTCAGGATTTTCAGTCACCTAATATTCATGTTATGCAGCATAGCAGCTTTGTAGGATAAGCACTGGACTCAAGCCACAAGGCCAGTGGTTCAAGCCCACCAGCCGCTCCCTGGGAGAACAATGAAGCTTTCAGTTCTCACCAAGATTTATAGTCTCAGAAAGCCTATATAATAAAGCTGCTAGGAGTCAGAACCAACATGACTGCACTTCATAACACTACACATTGGACTGCTAACGGCAGGGTTGGTAGGACAAACCCAACCACGGCGCCACATGAGGAAGATGACACACTCCGCTCCGGTAAAGACTAACCACCTTAGAAACTCTATACACGATCACTATGAGTCTACCGTAGTCCTGGGGTGGTGCTGAGGGTTCATGTACTGGATTGCAAAGTTGTTTTGAACCACAAGGTCAACGGTTCAAGCTCACCAGCTGCTCCTTGGAAACCCTATGCAGGGTTGCTATGGATCAGAACCGACTTGACAGCACTTAACGACAACATGAGTCTATCAGTCTGTCATACTGTGGTGGTTTCCATGTCACTGTAATACATGCCACCAGTATTTTAAATGCCAGCAGGGTTACCCACAGTGACAGGTTTCAGCTGAGCTTCCAGATTAAATCAGACTAGGGAGGAGAGGCAGACCACTTTCGAATGGTTAACCACTGAAAACCGTATGAATGGCAGGGTGACACTGCCCGATGCAGCGGCGGAGGATGAAACCCACATGAATAGCAGCGCTGCGCAATGAGCCCCTCGGGTTGGAAGGCACACAGAATAGACTGGGGAAGAGCTGCCTCATCCAAACAGAATTGACCATTATGACATGAATGGAGAAAGCTTTCAGAACCTTCGTTTGCTGATAAAGCACAACTCAAAATACAGAGAAACTGCTGCAAACATCCATTAATAATCAGAACATGGAATACACAAGTATGACTCTAGAACAATTGGAAGTTGTAAAAAATGAAATGAACATATCAAGATGGTTACCCTAGGCATTAATGAGCTGAAGTGGACTGAGATCGGCCATTTTGAATCAGACAATCACATGGTCTACTATTCCGAGAATGTCAACGTCCTTTGAAGAGGAACAGCATCACATTCATCGTCAAACAGAGCATTTCAAGATCCATCCTGAAGTACAATGCTTCTGTGATGGGATAATACTCCCACACGTATAAGGAAGACCAGCTAATACCACAATCATTCAAATTACGAACCAACCACTAATGCCACTGATGATTCAGAAGCGGACCTGGAACGAGGGCTATTGTTGCTGACATCAAATGGATGCTAAAAGCAGAGAATACCAGAGAGCTGTTTCCTTGTGCTTTATTGACTTTGCAAAGGCTTTCAACTGCGTGGATGATGACAAACCACAGATAACACTGCAAAGAATTTCACTGCGCTCCTGAGGAAGCCATATGTGGATCAAGAAGCAATCATTACAACAGAACGAAGGGATACCAAATGGGTTAAAATCAGGCAAGGTGTGTGTGCCTGGTCTGTATCCTTTCACCATACTTATTCAATCTGTACACTGGGAAACGGCATTAGATGAAGAAGGATAGATATAAGGATTGGCGGAAGGCTCATTAACAACCTGTGATATGCAAACGATACAACCTTGCTAGCTGAAAGCAAAGAGGACTTTATTAAAATACTTAGTGATGAAGATCAAAGACTACAGGTTTTATACCTCAATGTAAAGAAAGCAAAAATCCTCACAAATGGATCAATAAATAATATCATGATAAACAACGAAAAGACTGAAGTTGTCAAACATTTCATTTTGCTTGGATCCACAATCAACACTCGTGGAAGTAGCAGTCAAGAAATCATATCCGCTGCAAAAGACCTCTTTAAAGTTTTCAAGAG